AAGGTTTTCTTTGTTTTGTTTTGTGTTATTGTTTTTTTGTTTGTTTTGTTTTGTTTCTGGTACTAATGCTTGAATCCAGAGCCTTTGCACTGAGCTACATTCCCCAATCCTTTATGCTTATGTTTTATTTTGAGACAGATTCTCACTAAGTTGCAAAATTGCCTGGGCTGAGCTCAAATCTGAGATCCTCCTACATCAGCTTCCAGAGTGCTAGGATTGCAGGTGTGTACCAATGTGCCCAGTTTGAGTTTTGTTTTTGGGGGGTACTAGGGATTGAACCCAGAGTCTTGTGCATGCCGAGCAAGCTACATTCCCAGCCTCTTTTGAATTTTGAGATAAGGTCTCACTAAGTTCCCCAGGCTGGCCTTGAATGTTCAATCTTCCTGTCTCAGCTTCCTGAATAGCTGAGATTACAGGTGTACACCACTACACCTGGCCAGATTTCGAGAGGAATTGCATTGAATTTTCAGATTGCTTTGAATAATATTAACATAGTAATATTGACTTCCAATCTATAAACATGGACATCTTACTTTTATTTATATCTGCTTTACTTTCTTCTAACAATGTAGATTTAAAAACACAAAAATTCCCAGTGCTCACTCAGAATGAAATAACTTAAGTGGCCTTACTTTAATTTTACAAACATTAACTTATTGTTATTTATTTCAAGTCTATTGTTTAAATGCATGAAGTATGCATTTAACTGAAAGACAGTTTGAACCATATTCAAATTACTCTTAACATGAATGAGGTTGCATATTTTCATGATTGAGTATACATCAAGGAATGCTCCAAATTAATTTATATGCAGAACACACAGCTTATTAAAAAATAATCAATTTAAATGTCCTGATCTGGAGCTTATATACGCATTATAAAATCATCAGTAAATGCGGCAATTTTGCCATGGTGGCAAACCTATGGCACATGTACCACAGAGGGCTATTTATTTCATTGAAAGCTCTAAAACGTTTGTCATCACTGGTTGAGAATTTAGACCCATAAGAAGATTCAGGAATAGCTTATCATCAACATTATTTGGAACTGCCAAGTCTTGGTGATAATAACAAGCAGACTAATGTCATTATTATCATCTTTGAACTGTCAGACAATAAATAGTTTTATTGCCTGTATCCAGGCATATTTCCCCCTTGCCTTCCTTTAGTTCACCCCAACACTAGCCCTCAGAGTTGGAGTCTGCCAGCTAGTTGGCTGTTGGTATCCAATGCCACTTTAGTGATCAGGTGGGTTACCTGGTGCTCTCCGGCATCAGTCATCTGCTGCTCTGCATCTAGAGTTCCTGCCACTCCCCACTCTATTCTCCTGGCTGTCAGGATTTGTGCTTATTCTCTTATCTGACCATCTTTCAGCTTCTAACCTGACTATAAGCTATTGACTGAATCTATGCTCTTGAATTCCAGTCACAAAGACAGGATCCAAAAATCAAGCCCTATGTGCCAGGTGCCCTTCTAGGGGGCCTGTTAGCCACTTTGCACACTGATTGTCTTTGAGTCAGACAGCCAGTCCTGTGCAATCATTGATGACCAGGAATGGCAGGGCCATGTGGCCCTTTCCTTAGAAAAGAACCTGTGCAAGACAGGCCTTCAAATAGGGTTCCTCTCCAAAACATGTTCTTTTCTCCCACTGTTCCTTCCCCTCTTTCCCCAGCTCTTGTGACTTTGCTGTCTGCTTTCTCTCTTTTTTCTTCCTCTTTCCCCTTCCTCTCTTTCTTCTATGACGGTCTCTACAGATATAGAGATTTGAAACTTCACAATTTTAAAGGCACTGTCAACTGTGTAAAAATTATAAATTCTTTCCTTGGTAGCACGGACCTCTTTTGGTTAGCTAAGAGCAAATGAGAGAACTGGCTCACTTAACTTACCAAGAAAATTTAACTTTTCAAGAAAATTTCAACTAGGCTTTTGGTCTAGTTATTTAAGTATTATATCATACTTTTAAGTTGAGTCTTATAACCTTTTATGAGCAAAATTTTTATCCTAAAAATTATTGTGAAATAAATAGGCAGTAAACTTCCACTGTGCTTTATTTGGGAAAAGAAACATCAGAAGTTACACCTCTAAAGCTGGTCTGAGAGTTATTCATCATCCTGCTGTCTTTCACCTTTACTTGTACATTTTCTGCTTTGGTTACTTTCTGCATTGTTGAAGTCCTGTTGTAGATATAATAAGGAAGAAGGACCACATTAGACATGAGAAATAAGAGCAGTAGAGGTACCAGGTCACTCACACAGCAGATCAATAGCACTACCTTAAAATGCTTGGACAGTTTCATGTGCCCTAACAAAAAAACATGCTCCCCTCATCCTAATATTAATTTTGGGTTTCAAATGTCTCCTACCACATGCACAAGGATTTTTATCTAGCTACAGTTTTACTCCCAGCTGTAGGGTTTCATGAAATTTTGCTGTTGTGGCTGCAGGAAGGTAGCCAAATGTTTCCCTAATAATTAGTGCAATCTAGTCCTCATGCTCATTATGTCTAACAGATCATAAATACTTATCAGTAAGATATGGCCAAACCTTTGGGGTTCACAGCCTAGTGAGGGAGATATTCATCACACTGCATTGTTGTTCTTCCAAATGGTCATCGCCAACCCTTTCTCCTTTTCTTCACAGAAGTAAGGACAGAAGAGACTAGGTGAACTGGCAAAGATTTATATTCCTCTGAAAGTCCCTACAATTCTTTCTTCTTATCCATCTGGAGACAAAACTAAAGACATCAGTGTTCTCTCCAACCATTTAAGCTGCTTGAAAACATTATGGTTTTTTTCACAGTCATTAGCCCCTCTTTTGGTACCCTAGCTCTCCCTTTTCCACATTCAGGCCCTCTCTGGCATACCTCCTGCGTCCCTTTTTTTGTCTTCCTTTCTCATTCCATTTCTCACCAGTCCTTGGGAAAATCATGTTAATGTTCCCCCTCTGGAATGGGCCTCTCCTCAGAGTACCTACCATGGGTTTAGGTCAGAGGTTAAACTCAAGTACCTAAGTGTTGTTCCGATTTTGTTCACATATTAAGTACATGGAAACATTCTCTACTTTTACAAAGTAATGTGCTATACTTGGTTTTTCCTTGAAACAGGTGACCCTCTTTCATTTTTTAGAATTTTTACAGCGATATAGAGGCAAGAACTATTTCATTTCCCTCCTAATTCTAAGCTAATGTCAGTAGGTGGTCGAGGTCCTTCCTAATAATAGGAAACATGCAGAGTCTACAAAGGCTACCCTCCAGCTACTGTGGAACGTGGGCCTGGTTGCTAGATCTTCTGACTTTTCAAGAGACAGAAATCCAGGTTTTTGTGAAAAAAATTATGTTGCTAAAATGTTAGCCAACTAATTTAAAAGGATTTAAAATGTTGCAAAGGCTAAAGCAAACAAGTCCACAGAATACAGGAGCTTGACCTGTATGCAGCTTCTGACACTATAAATTCTCACAGGCATTTATCTTATATTTACTTGCTTTGCAACAGACAGTTGTATAATTATGCCTTTGCTAGAGACCAGTAATTTTTTTCGTATTCCTTTCATGTATTTATGTTGTATCCTCTTTTCTAGCCCATCTCTACAATGTATAGTTAATAATCCCTTAAAATCAAACTATCCTTTCCAATTCTTCTTTCTCCCCTTAGAAAGGAATTACAGTGCTTTCAAAACCAAAGCTTCAAATCAAATTATGAATTAAATTATATTAGTTTTAAAGAGTTTTCTAAATGGCTAAAAATTTTACCAATAATCTTACTGCCAACCTTCCTTCAGTGGAGAAGTGACTGAGTATGTATAACTGCATGAACACACACATACACACAGAGCACAGCGCTATGATGAAAACTCAGATCAAGGTATACAAAACAAGTTACTACTCCCCACACAGTCATGCACCTTCCTTAAGGGAGCCCCCTTCCTGGGAGCCTCCTCTGAACTCCCACCTCTGGCACCTTCCCCTCTCAGACATACCCTACATTGTATCATAATTGCATTGTATCATAATTGCACAGCATAGGGCCTAGCACACAGTAGACAGAGTTAAGAGTTATTGCGTAAGCCATTATTATCATCAAAATAAGTTACTATTTTCAGAGCAGGTACTATGCACTGAGTAGTTTGCCTCTATTGTCCTGAGGGCTTTCCCAGTCCAGACCACAAAATCCAAAGCAGCCCCCAGTCATCCTCTCTAGAACACAGCCTGACTAGGACTTATGGCTCTCTAAAATAGTCTTAACTATGTGCAGATTGTCATCTGTCACCTGTCAGTAGAAAGTGCTAGAACAAAAATGTCATCCACCTCATGCTTGGCACACAGAAGGGAAATTAATGGGTCTAAACATCTGGCCTCCTGAGGTGAGGGTGTACTTGCACACAGCAGGTCCCAACAAGTTCTGTTTTAAACTATATATTCAGATTTCAAGATAATTGTGTTAAATATTTGGTTACATTACCCAGGTACTGACATAGACGTGGGAATTTCTGCCGCAGTAAGAAAAACCACTTCCTATAACGTAGCGTCCTCTACACGTCTGGGCCTTGCCACATCCTGACAAGGACAAGACTCTCAGGCAAAGGTGGCTGGGGCAGTGCGCACCCCAGACGCTCACACTAAAAGAGAAGAGCGAGTCGGGGTCGGCCGCCGGCGGGAGCGCAGCGGGGTCTGATTGGGACAGTGTGGTGCCCTGGCGGCCGCCGGGCGGGCCCCTGACTCTCCGCCTCAAGAGACCCCTGGTGCTCCGCCTCCTTTTATCCCGAAATCCCACCATCCCAATACACAAGGTTTGATCGTCAAGGTTCCCCGAGCTTCCAGGAATACCGGGCCTCAATACCCACTAGCTGCGAGCCCAGGAAACCCACCTGACCGAGCTCCAAGTGGTCCCGCTAGAGACGCGCCCGCCTCCCGAGGCCCCGCCCCATTCCCCGCCCAGCCGCTCCGGCCCCGCCTCTCCCAGACGCCCTGACTGGGCCCGCCCTGCCTCGCCCCGCCCCGGTCCCGCCCATCCGCCAGAGCCTCCCAAAGTCTCTCCGCGCGAGCCACCCGCTCAGTTGTTGCGGCGGCTGCGCCTTCTTTGCCTACGCCTTCTTTGCCTACGCCTCGCTACTGCCGCCATGCCCGGAGGGCTTCTTCTCGGGGACGAGGCTCCCAACTTCGAAGCCAACACCACCATCGGCCGCATCCATTTCCACGACTTTCTGGGAGACTCGTAAGTGGCCCCGCCCTGGCCTCCGTGCGCGGGGACTCGGCGGTGCCTTCCCCAGCTCTCCCTCCCGTCCTGCGCGGCCACGGCCTTGGCCCTGGCGTGGCTGGGCTGGCTTGGGAAAGGGAGGCGACACTGGCTTCCGCAGGCCTGGGAACGTGCAGAGAAGGGCTTGCTGTCCTTTACACTGGGTTTGGTCACCTGTCCGAGGAGTGCGGCGGGCTGAGGCCCGGTGGGCAAGGGCAGGGGGTTATGGGCGGCCACTGCCCGGGACTCCTGCCCGGGGTCGCACCTTCCTCCCGCCTCGCTCAACTCTGGAATTTGCTCCCTGGAGAAGCCGGTTGCCTAAGGCTAAAGTTGTAGGAGGGCATGTTAGGGAGGCCCCCAACGTGTTATCTGAGGTTTCTGCCTGTTGCAGTGGTATTTACAGACTTCTGGACACAAAATGTAACATTTAAAACCACCAGCTGCCAAGTAAGTGGCTGACATTTTGTCCAGAGCCGCCTCCAATGGCCAAGATAGGATTTGATGTAACACCTTTCAGGGGAACCAATAACATTGTGTGTGTAGTGTGTCCTTCATTCCAGAACTTGCAGCAATTTGAGGGAAGGGGTGTTCAGCTGCAGTGACTTATCTTGCCAGGGTAGGCCGGTTCTGGCGCCAGGAGACGCGTACCTCCCCACGTCCAGGCCCTTTTGTTTGCCAGCAATCCCCTCCCCCTCCTGCCTTGCATCCAGCACACGGGCTTGCCATTGAGAGCAGATTGGTGACCTGTAACAGTCTTACCATAATGAGAAGTAAGTCGGTGTTACCCTTGCTGATAGCTCCTGAATCAGCAAACTGCAAGTTGCTAAGTTTCAGTAAGAAGTCTTAATTACATTACGGTTCTGCAGCGCCAGGTCCCACCACACTGGTGCTCCCAGGCTGAACAATTCCTCCTGGCTTTGTGTCCTTTTTATATATCCAGGATCCTGGCATATATTCGTAGAGAGACTGAGAGAGAAGCTTATGAAATTAATCATTGACTGGACAGGGCTGTACAGAAAATCTGGGAGAGATTCTTACACATCAAGCCTAATCAACCCTTTACAATCTCTTAAGTCCGTTTCCCAGCTACTGAGTGAGAGAAAATCAAGCTTTGCAAAAGGTAGCAGGGGGGTGATAAATGGAACTCAGGCCTCGCAAGCAGAAGACTTTAGGAATACAAATGATGTCTAGTCTCATACTCAGAATCTAGATATTAACATTTCTCCAAAACTCCATAGGATTTTCACAGTGTGTTCCTACCCATTTCTGTCTACAACCCTCACCTCCAGGCAACAAAATCTTGCCAGAGCTCTTAATTTTTGTATGGATTAGGGATCAGTATTGACATGAAGCATATTTACCATAGCAACATTTATAAATGCTGTCACTGTTAAAGCTAACCATATCTTTTGGGTCTTTGTATTTTGTTTGTTGACCTCTGGATCTAGCTAGCTTTGATTTAACCTTCTCGGGGAGCCACCAGTAGGAAGATGAGAAAAATATCTATTGTATATACAAGGTTTGCTTAGGTATTCCCTGCCCTGTCTGGAAAGAACTTTCAACCCTTTGTGTCACTGTAACTTGTGGATTTTTGGCTAGTTTTTCCAAACTCCATTCCATATATTTCAGGGGTACACTAATTTCTAATCCAGGTTATCTTCAAAGGAAAACAGTTAAAATACTGTAATTTCAAACGTTAGAGTTAATCTATCCCACCTGTGATGTTTGGAAACAACTAAAAGGATTTGGGTTCTGCATTTGGTGAGTTTACTGAGCCTTACTACAATTTCTGTGTGTGGTAGCAGCTTCTTCATAGCACAGCTTCAGTGAGCAGAACTCCTTTACCAGGATTTTTCTGGGCTCAGTAAATGGAGACCATTCTCTTAAAAGGAGGAAACCTTTTGTCTTTTGAAAATGAGGAAGGAAGGAAATGGATAATGTAATTGAATTACACTTAAGAGCAGCAGTCTGGAAACAGTGGGGAAGGTAGGCCTAGGTAAGACGTTCTTGGAATTTACCCTGTTTCTAGCTCTAGCCCTATGGTAGACTGAAGTTTGTCTTCTGAGGGAGGGGAGGATGTGAAACAGCTTAAAACCAGTTCCCCAGCATGATTCAGCAAAACAGCTTGTATTGGTCCACCCTGAAAAGTCTTTCTCATTCATTGCCCCTTTGTCAACACAGAAAGAAATGGCCAGTTCCACCCCTACCCTCTCCCATTCTGGGAATTTTGAGGCTCTTGTGACCCTTAAATAGGTCACTCCCATAGAATCTGAGCTCAAAATTGTACTCATAGCTAGATTACTTATTTCAAAATATATAAGTCCCTCGTGTTCCCCTTTATTAAAAACAAGCATACCACATACCTCTCTGTTTCCTCCCAGTCTTGCCCTAAGACCTCTCATCCTTTTTGTAAGGTCTTTTCCTTTACTAAAGCCTTGGGAGTTGAATGTTATATGTGTGTGACAAGATTTGGATGGGAAGGTAGTGCCTCTGTCAGCTTTGTTTGTTATGCTTAGTGAAACATGCCAAAATTTTAGTAGATCAGACTACACTTGGCGATCTGGCCTAAAATCTTGACACTTGATGGCTTAAGCCAATGGAAGTATAGAGAACTGAATGTTAAACTTTCTTTTACGGTTGAAATAGTTTCTGTGGACACGGAGAAGAAAATGGTACTCTAGAGTTTCTTGGAATGTTTCTTGGTAACTCAGCTTGAAGCACGCCCCAAATCTATACATGTTTAACCTGAGACACTGATAATTTAGATATTTGTGTTTACCTAAGAATTATAGTAGCTGTAGCAATCTCCATAGTAGGCTTTCAGTTTTTCTACCTGCTTGGTCTAAAACAAGAAGAAAAAGACACTGCAGATGAAGAGATGGATAAAACTGGAAAAGTGTTGTTGCTTTGTCCCCTTGGGTGTCCTTTTTGGCAGGTTACTTTACAAAGATTTTTATATCCCCTCGATTCAAAAAGCCAAGTGCCAGCCTTAATGTTACTTATAAATAGAGCATAGAAACTTGTTTGTTCCAGTTACATAATCTGTTTATTCTTAAAAATCAGGCATCTGCTTGGATTCAGGGCATATTGAGGACTGAACATTAAGATCTGTGCTAGAAAAAAAAATAGGTTAGAAAAGAAAAAGAAGAAATAAAAAGCTATTTTAAGCTACTTGGCTTGAGTAACAGATTTTATTAGCTGAAAAGGAGTCAGGGAGGCTCCATAGTTATTAAAAGAACCAACACCCTAAAATTAATCTTTTTTTTTTTTTTTGGTACCGGGGATCAAACTTGGGTCCTTCGGCTTGCGAAATCCCCGGCCCTAAAATTAATCTTTTTAAATACTTATCATCTTGAATTTTGTGTCATTGATTGAACTGACCTGTCAATGTAGGCTTTCTGGAGGGAAGATTAAAATGGACTTCTCAACTGAAAAGTTTAAAAGGTTACAAGCATTTATTTAAAAACAAAAGCCAAGCTATCCTGGCTTTCTTCCCAAAAGCCCACCCTGCTTTTCCAAGGTGTCCTTTTATCTTGCTTTTTCCTCTTTTCCTCAACCCAAGCTCACTCTGCAGAGCCAGTTTCTTACTCACTCTTCACTTCTACTTTTTCAAATAAACTTTGCCACTGCTTTTTACACATTTCATTCACTTCTTTGTTCAAGACAAGAAGAACCTGGAATCTAACACCAGAAGGAGAGGCGAGCAAACCAGAATCCAGTAACCGTTTAATTGGCGAGCCACCTTTAGAAGGAGCTATCCGATAACATTTCATAGCCAGTAGATTCTGATAACAACCAGACGTGGTGGCACACATCTGTAATCTCCGCACTCTGGAAGGCTGAGGCAGAAGGATCCCAAGTTTGAGCCCAGCCTGGGCAACTTAGTGACTTAGTGAGACCTTGTCTCAAAATAACAAATAAAAAAAGGGCTGGGTATGTAGCTCAGTGCAAAGGCCCAGGATACCACAAAAACAAAACGACCGTAAATACATACATACATACATACATAAAAATATATATTGTTTTGTTCTGTTCCATTTTTAAAAAATAAAAGCTGATTTTAAATGCAAATGTTGCTTTTCCTTCTGTATAATGTTGGCAATTGTTCATTCAGTTGTGACCTTCTTTTCTGTTTTTCAGATGGGGCATCCTCTTCTCCCACCCACGGGACTTTACCCCTGTGTGCACCACAGAGCTTGGCAGAGCAGCAAAGCTGGCACCAGAGTTTGCCAAGAGGAATGTTAAGTTGATTGCCCTTTCAATAGACAGTGTTGAGGACCATCTTGCCTGGAGCAAGGTATATACTTCTGTAATATGTGAAATATATTTTTGTCTTCCTTTCCTGTTTCCTTCCACACAACTCCTAAAATCCTTGAAATCTTCCAAGTAAGCAGTGTCTTTTTGTATGCTAATGAGTTGACTGACAGCTGACATGCCTTGGGTAGCCTCAGAGGCATTCAGGCAGGTCTTGGAAGGAACAAGGCAAGATTAAAGGGTTGGGACTTAGAGGGGCTTAAGGTTGAGCTGATCACTAAAGGCCAGTGATTTAACTATTCATGCCTACGCAGTGAAGCTTGCATAAGAACCCAAAAACATTGGATTCCTGGAGCTTCTGGGTAGCTAAACACATGGACATTCCTGGAGGGTGGTATGCCTGGAGAGGTAAGAAGCTCCAAACCTCACCCTATGCATCTTTTCATCTATGCCTTTGTAAACATAAGTCTTTCCTTGAGTTCTGTGAGATACTCTGGTAAATAAGCAACACCAAGGAGTAGGTCATGGGCATTCCAGTTTATAGCCCATCAGTCAGAAGCACAAGTACAGCAACCTGGAGCTTGCAGTTGGCATTGGAAGTGGAGAGGCAGTCTTGTGGGCCGCAACCTGTGGTATCTGACACTACTATCCAGCTAGAGAGGGTCCAAACTGAGCTGAATTAAGAGGGCACCCAGCAGGTGTCCAGTGAAGAATTGGTTGGTTGTTGGGTGGAAAATCTCAGCCACTTCTTGGTGACCAGAGGTCACAGAAGTCATGTGTTATTTGGGTTTTTTTCCTCTGTGTCATCAGAAATATTGATTGGTATAGGCTTTGAGCCTAAGGTATATAAGAATTATAGAGAGTAGCTTATTGTTGTTTTCTTAGATAAAAGTACAAGGAAACCTCAGGTTCACAATTAACTAGTTATTTGAAAATCTGGCTTGGACTTCATAGTAACCTGAGTGATCAGTTCTCAACCACCATTTTTCTTGACCTGCCTGCAGCGTTCAGCCCAGCTGATCACTATATCCTGAAATATGTTCCATGGCTGGCTTCCTGGATGCCACATCTTTGCAGTTGATGCTCATGCTTAGCCTGGTTTTTGATCATCATCTCTCAACTCCTAGTTTATGCTGAAATTGCCTTGAACTAGCTCTTGGACCGCTTTTCCATCTCTCTTCTTTTTCTTGGTAAGCTTATTCCCTCATATCTTTGAGTAATACCTGTATGCTCAGATTTCCATCTCTGGCCAGATACTACTGGCCCCCAGGTTGGTAAAACCACTGCTTATGCAGGATCTGCTCTGGGCTATGCAGTCTTCTCAAACTTAGTTTGTTGAAATTTGGGCCCTACTCTTCCTCCCAGCATCTTGCTCATCTCAGCTAATGGCAACTACATTTTTTGTAGTTGATCAGGGTGAAAGTCCAGAAAGCCATTTTAACTCCTTTTTTTTCACATCACTTCTGATTCGTCCACAAACTTCTTGACTCTGCCTGCAAAGTATATCCAGGCTCATGTCTGGAAATCCTGCTCCCCAGGTATGTCTTTGTGGCTTGGCCTTAGCCTCTAGTTATGTAGGAAACTTCAGGTTCATTAACGTCACTTTTATCTGATCTCTGTTGAGAAGAGCAAGAAGGTTTTGTGTCTACTATGCCATTAACCCCCTCTTTTACTTTCAGGGTCCCACGTGAATGTAAAATAGACCTTTTCTGAAATCCAATTTTAAATCCTCTTTTCATTACTTCCTCAAACTACCACACAAAGTTCGTCACTCCTGTATAATAGTTTATGCATGATCTTGCCTACATGTTCCATTAGTGTTGTTCTCCACAGAATGCCTTCCATTTCCCAGTGAAGTCTTACCCGTCCTTCAAGAGCTCAGGAGAACTTTACCCCTTTCTTGAAGCCTTTCCCAGTTCAGCAGTCCTATGTTAGCATATGTGCATTTTTAGCGCCACTTAAACATTACAGTCTTGTATCTGCTATACTACTTCATATAGGGATTAGAAGTTCCTTTGACGTTAGAGCCATGTCTACGTATCTGTATTCCACATATGCTTAATATAAGAATTATGTCAATACTTGATCAAATAATGAAACTAGTTTTTTTTCCTCGGAAAAATCCTCCAGGGCCTGGGACTTAGCTCAGTGGTTCCGCCGCCTGCCTCGCAAGTGCAAGGACCTGAGTTCAATCCCCGGTACCAAAGAAAACCCCTCCAGGTTTAAGAAAAGTTGAAATAAATGAATAAATAAAGTTTTATTAGGGAAGGAGGGAAGTACATCATTTTCTTTTAGTTCAGACTTAAAATGCTTTTCACCCATTTACTTTTTACTTGTCCTTAACATATACATTCACCTCTCCATTCTTATATTTGCTTTAAGTTTTGTGACCTCCCACACACACAAACCCCCCTCGTTTCTCAGTGTCTGTCTTCTAGCCTAGGGTCTAAGTCAGGGTGTTTTTGAGGCAAGGGCCAAATCCACAGAATTTTCTTTACATGCAGCATTATTTCTAGATGTCTGGACCTAATAAACCCATTGTTTCTGATGTTTTTAATAGGATTTGAGTATCCAGAGTTGCCTTGTATTGGAGTCATATTAAATCTTTATTAGTCACCTTTTAAAGAGTTTACTGATGATTTCTCAAAGCAGTAAATGCATGTTGAATTTAAGAAAATTGTGTGTGGAAGGGTTTTGGTCTGGGCATACTGTACTCTGCTATTATTCCTGCCATTAAATTATTGAGAGAAATGTTCATTCTTGTTTGTTTGTTTGTTTGTTTTTTGAGACAGCATCTCGCTATGTAGTTCGGGCTGGTCTTAAACTCACTGTGTAGCCCAGGCTGGCCTCAAACTCATGGGAATCCTGCCTCAGCCTCCCAAGTACTGGGATTACAGGCATGTGTCACCATGCCCGACTTCATTCATTTTTTAATTAAAATTGCTCAGAGAAATTATCATAATTATGACTTTCTTCCCTGTCTTGCAAGGTGATGGCTATTGACTCATGAAATTCAGAAATGTGTCAGGTTTAGAATTCTTTCTCCTTTTTCCTGCCTTTCAGGATATCAATGCTTACAACGGTGATGAGCCCACAGAAAAGTTACCTTTTCCCATCATTGATGATAAGAATCGGGACCTTGCCATCCTGTTGGGCATGCTGGACCCAGCAGAGAAGGATGAAAAGGGCATGCCTGTGACAGCTCGTGTGGTGAGTCCTAGCAGTCCACTTGGTAGTCAGCAGGGCTGATCAGGCTTTATGTAATTACTTGACCTGACTAGAGGAAATCGAGGAATATCTACAATTATTAAACAACTGTACTGATGATATTATTATTATCAGTAATGCTGATGCAAAGTGGCAAAAATATTCAGCTAAATTTTCAAACTAGTTAATCCATTACTCTCAGAAACCTACAGAAACCTAAGTAATTTATCCTAAGATGCAATATAGAATTAATAAACCTTTTCTGTAGCTCTCCTGAGAGATCTGTCTTTAAAGTGGTGCGCCATATCCTTCTTCATAGATCAGCTCACTTTTTTCATTGTTTGTTCTGTCCTCTACCCAGTAAAAAACAAATTCACTCCCTCATCTGCATGAATGTACAGTTATTTGAGACCCAGCATCAACTCCAGTTACTATTATTTTTATGAGGATCATCCCTAGTTGGAATAGTACTGTACCTTTGTGGGGCCTTTCCCAGGTTAAACTTATGTATCCATTTTTCTTACTGAGAGAGCCAGGGCCAAATATAATTTCCTTCTAAGTATTGAAGTAATGGGAAAGAAAATTATACTTTGTAGGTGATTTGTTTTGTTTCTGTTTTTATTTTTATAACCTTGCATGTTTTTAATGACTACGGAACTTTCTGAGTAGCTTTAATTTCAAAAGCACTGGAAGGAACTCTTCCTAATTATGCCTCTTGATGTGCTTTGCAGGTATTTGTTTTTGGTCCTGACAAGAAACTGAAGCTGTCCATCCTCTATCCAGCTACCACTGGCAGAAACTTCGATGAGATTCTCAGAGTAGTTATCTCTCTCCAGCTGACAGCAGAAAAGAGGGTTGCCACCCCTGTTGATTGGAAGGTAAAGATATTAAAAGGGCAGATACTCAACTTGTCTGGAAGGCCTAAAGTACCAGTGTCTAAATGGTTACCTCCAGGGTCAGTGTTACCTAGAACTAAGTTTGTAGCAGTCAAGTAGGGAGGATTTTTCCTCACGGCTGAGTTTAAGATTTGCTGAGGTCTTTCACAACTTAAAAAACACAACTTCTCCCTACTGCTTCCTGACTTGTAGAGAATTTGGACAAATTGGTCAGAATGATTCTTTTTCCCTATGTAAGTTGAACAGTCCTAATCCTAAACTCCAAAGTGCTCTGAAGTCTTGAAATTTCTTGAGGGTATCATGGAATTTCAGAATTCACATTTGGGGGTGGGGAAACTCAATTAGTGAAGTCTATACAAATATTCCAGAATCTGAAATATTCCTCTTCCTAAGCATTTCAAATTAAGGGATACTCAGACTATAAAAGATTTTTTAAAACACATTTTTTTTTCTGGCACTGGGGATTGAACTGAGGACGTTGTGCTTGCCAGGCAAGCATCGTGCCACTGAGCTACATCCCCAGCCCTAAAACACTCTTTATCTAACCATTCCCTGATGCCAAAATATTTATAGCAAAACCTTGATTGCCTATTTTTTTAAGTCATGGATATAAAATTATTGGTGTGTTAATGTTATGAAGCATTGTATTTCTCCTAAGCTTCAGTCTTTTAAATGTGCAGAAGTCTCTAAAATTTGTTCATAAACTTGCAATCCCTTAAAATCTTTTTAAATGTGTAGGACATAGATAATATCCTAAAGAGTATCCTCATGTTGCCACATTTTTAAAAATATGCTTTCCTGAATACCAGGAGTTAAATAGTTGGTTAGTTGGTTTTTCTGACAGGCAAATTATTTAAATTCTGTATCCAGTAAGGGAACACAAACTTATTGACCCCAAGCAGTGCACACTGAGGATCTAGCAGTGAATGAAGTTCTTGCCTTCATACTTACATCCCAGTGGGTAGGCACAAACTATACAAGTCTGTGGGCTATTGAATGATGATGAAGGTGCTACAGAAAATAGTCAAGTGGGGTGGGAGAGTTGGTTTTATATTTGACTGTCAAGGAATTTCAAGGAATGCCTTTGGGAAGGAACCTTTGGAAAGGATAGGAAGTGGGTGACCAAGCCATGCCCAGTAGTGAAGGATGAGCACCAGAGGCAGCTTTACCTGCAGTGAGGACTAGAAGGAAGCCAGTGTACCTGTGAAAGGAGGTGAGTTGAAGAAGTAGAGATGAGAGGAGGCCAGATTCAATCCACGGGGCCTGTAGTCCATGGACAGACTTCAAGTTAATCTTTGAAGTGTGATAGCAAGCCATTGCTGGGTTTAAAACAGGACTGTCTCTGGTTAAGATGGGGAATCTTAAGATAGTAATCTGCTATCTTAAGATAGTAATCTGCAGAAAAGTGTCAAAGACAAACTTGTGAAAACAAAACCCCTCAGAGACAAGAGAATAAAAAGATACTCAGTTATTCTCATTAGCACCTGTACTACTTTTCCAAAGTTAATTCTTGGAATACCTTTTAGCATTACTGTGAGTTTGAATTTCAATTTTCAATGTCTTTCAATAGGATGGAGATAGTGTGATGGTCCTTCCAACCATCCCTGAAGAGGAAGCCAAAACACTTTTCCCTAAAGGAGTCTTCACCAAAGAACTCCCATCTGGCAAGAAATACCTCCGCTACACTCCCCAGCCTTAGATGTGAGAAGCTGAGGCTGTAGCTACTTGCTCAGCATAGTGAGCCAGAAGATGCCAGCTGCCAATCATGGTCTCCTGCAACAGTTCCATAAGAACATCCTAGTGTGATTCAGCCAAGGTCTTTAGATTGCTATACTACTGGCTTATTAAATGGAAGTGGCACTAAAATTTTCTTGGGATTCTTTACTCTGTGCCTTCACCAGCACTCTGTCCTGTTCATATATCTCAGCATTCTGCGGCTGGCTAGCTCTCCTCGACATTTACTCTATATTTGAGACAAATCTTATTGGATCTCTGCAGGGTTTATGATCAACAAGGTAGTATTTGTTGATGGTTGAGGAAGCTTACCTTGCTCCATCCTCCATCACAGAATGACTATCATTTTTGTAGCTGTCTTAATCAAATCTTCTGTTCCCATTTTGGAGAGCAACAAAACTTGAAATTCACCTTCCTCTGTAAATAAGTGTGTAGTCCAGGGACTCAGAGTAACTCAGATATTCTTTAACATTCAGTCTTTTGATGAAAGCTGGAGAAGAGAACTTTTCAATTCTGTATCTTTCTAGTAGATAACTAAAATTCAGGTGGGGGATAATATTTTACCAAAAAAAATTTTTGTGATAAATTTCTGTGAAAGGAGGAAGGCTGCAGAAAAGGCTTCCTTTCTGGGCAGGGAGATGCACCTGAAGGCATGAGCATAGGTGCCATGTGCCTTTCACCAAGTATTGCCATATATTAGCCTGCTCTCTGAAGGTTTGTGCATGGAGAGGAGCACGCCTTGTGAAAAGAGGAGAGGATAACTGAGAATGTGTTATAGTACTCTTCTTGCAGTGGGTTGCTATTTTCTGGATTTTGCTTTCTGGGGATCAATAAATAAAATCCTTTGTTGAAACTGGATCAGAGAACTCTCTTGTCTCATTTTAAAATACTAATTTAAACTCATGCTGTGAAGGGCAGTGGCTTCCTTCTGGCTAGGATTGGCATGAGCAGTTTCTCCAAAGACAGATATATAAAATGTCTTATAATAAAACGGAGAAAAAGCTAAATAACATGATTTCCACACATATCTTAGCCCACTTCTCACTTTCTTCCTTTATGTTATTTGCTTGGCTCACATAATCCCATGACTAATTTCTGGTATAAAAATCACAATCAAACCTAATGCCTTAATGAGGTAGCTGGACTTAAAGATACAAGCTTTGAGGATAACGATACATCTACTTCTCACTGCCCTGAACTCACAGTCTCTCAGACTTGTATTACATCATGTTAATAAGTCTTGGGTTTCCAAAGAGGTCTCTCACTCATGAGTCTCAGTCTATAGGCACATACAACAAAGAACCATAGACCAAGTGGCTTAAACAATAAAGGTTTATTAGTTCTGCAGGCTGAGACGTCCAAAATCAAGGCAAATCCCTTGTCTGGTGAAAGCCTGCTCCCTGGCTTGTAGAGAGGACCATATTTTTATTGAATAGAATAATGTAGAACATGAACCTTAGCTATGTGCGTAACAGCTCATTAAGCCTTTAGACTCCTTGATTTCTGTACACGTAAAATTTGGGTGATGCTAAGAAGACTGAAAAGGAAGGTGAAAATCCCAGGGGATTTGCTGGCCTGAAGATTGAGAAGAGCTGGTCACCTACTATTGCCCAACTTGGTATGTTTTGCTTCTCAAGAACGGTTAACATTACTGTCCCCTGGTATCTTCTGACCATTCCCTAACTCTGTCTCCTGTCATTTCCTTAGCATTAGGTTCCTCACTGCTCCCTTCCCCTTGACATTTGCCCTCTAGTCCTTGTCTCATGGAGAGTCACCTTTCTTTTGTTGATCATTCAAAGCTTCAATCTCCAGTGTTAATTACTTAAAATTGAGTCTTACACTCATTCACTGATGGAGCATTTCCCATTAGCAAATTCAAAATCAAATTCATCAACTTTTTCCCCAACATTGTAAACTTACTGCCCCACACCACTCACTGTCTATGCTATATACATGATGCTGTCACTAAAAATGTTGAAAGAGTTCAAAGAAAAGAGGTCATGTACCCTCAAGTTCAATTCTAGTGCTTTCATTGAACTGCCTTGAAACCATGAGACTATAAGTACCCCTTTCCAAATATAAAGTATTCCATAATGAATTTTTTTCAAGGTAGAAGTGATCCTAAGTACATTCTTAAATACATGATTGGGCAGAGGAAGTTCCCTTGAGAACTGCTGCCCTCACTTTCCATAAAATGAATGTTAGGCATCCATTGATTTACTCTGTGAATTAATGTAAAACCATCATGGCTCTAAGGGGAAAGAAGGATTTGAGAGGCATTTCACGTGACTTCTCAACAATATGGAAATGCCTTAGCTAAAACAGTCTTTAAGATACACAAAGTAATTTGTGGCTCCTAGTCTGGTTAAAACTGGTCTTACCTCTTTAGCCAAGGCTAAAGATGTTAAGAGAAAAGTTTAGCAAATGGACAGGAGAAAGAATGGTCTTGTCTAAAGGACTAAGTCATGATGCCAATTCCTGCATGCAGTGCAGTGGTATAGTGATTAATATTTACTCCAATGTCCATTGACCCTACCTCTTTGAAGCCATGCAAATTGAAGAAATACAACTTTGTGGGTTATAGGGCATATTAGCTGGTGAAAAGGTCCTTGCCACCCTCTTGTCACTGACTGGTTCAGAATGAGCATGTGTTTCACTTCATGCCCATGAGACAAACAGAAGATTGTTGGAGGTATCTAGGAGAATTCTTTTTCTGAGGAATAATTTAAAACTTTTCCTTTTGTTTTTGTCCCCTCCTGGATTCAAACGAGAAAACAAAGTGCTAATTGCTGTTAGTGGCAATCTTAACAACCTTGGAGTAGGGGAACCAATCCCAGAAAGTTGAAAAGGTAAATAGCAGAGAAGAAAGGAAAAAACTCTGGTCTCTGGTAATTTTTACTGAGTCTACCAACTGCAAACCTGTCCTACCTTATAATAAACTTCCTCAGTGCCTAAGCCTTTTGGAGTTGGATTTTCTGGTACTTGAAGCCCAAGTTCTGAATATACAGTAATACGCCTCCTAAGCAAAACTGTACCGCAGACATCTGTTTTCTCCTACATCTATACCACCTACACTGGTAAGCCTCAAACTTCTGTATGCACTAAGTTAGCCAAGGAGCACATTGATGTGCAAAAGCCCAGGGGCCCATCCCCAGAGCTGGGCACCACAAGTAGCACTAACTCCATTTTTAACTACCCAGAGGACAGCAGTACAGAAAGTTCCTCACCAATATCCACGCCCCTCTTAGGCCTGATGAAGAACACCCACGTTGTATTAAAGTAGCAGGGTAAGATGCCAGTTCTTCTCAAGATGAGTCTTGAGACAGTTGGGACAGTTCTGGCCTAGGTGGTGGGGTCCCTTCCTGACCCAAGAGCCAAAGCTTCATAAGGAGAAACTCCCTGCCTTGCTCCTGAAAAGCCAATGGAATGCTTGCCGTGAGGACAAAACGCCAAGGATGGAGGAGGAGGCTGGAAGGAGCCCAATCTATAATTCTGTCTCAGGCAGCTACATGAGTGCTATCTGGATTTCCAGACATCTTGTTACAGGATATAACCTAATGTAATATGCAGCCACACTTGGTATTTCCTGACACACAAACACTGAAAACCGCCAAAAGACACTGCCCAGAGAAGGTTTTTTTTTTCTTAGTTTATTAATACCCATTTGCAGTACATGTTTACATTCCTTGTGTGGACTTGGTACATGTACATAACACATCTTAATTTCTTTTTCATTCTCTTTCCCTTCTCTCCCTCCTCAACCCAACCCTTGCCCTTTTGTACATGTTTTCAGCACATAATGTTTGCATTACTCGTGTAGAGTTGGTACACATACACAACACCTCCAATTCCTTTTATTCAACCCTTATCCCTTCCCTCCATAACCCTCTTCCCATCTCTTGATCCCCTTCCGCTTTGAGAAAAATTGATCTCCCTACTTTCTATTATCTGTCTTTTATTTTGCTCTTTATTTTTACTCTGGGTTTCTCATATAAGAAACCATGTGATAGTTAAGCTTGTGTATCTGATTTATTTCACTTAACATGATGGCCTCAAGGCTGCCGTTCCACTGCTCCAAGCCCAGAGAAAGGGGCTTCCAGGCCGCTGTTCCACCACTCCCAGCCCAGAGGTTGGGGCTCCTGGACCAGCATTCCACCACTCCCAGCTCAGAGGAGGTGAGCCACGTGGGCGCCAACAGCACCACCACCACCACCTCTGTTGAAATGAGAAGACATGTAAACAAGTCTCAAAACCAAACTTCCAGATCACCTACATCAACCCCAAAGGGAAATGAGATGCAATACTCTAATACTCAACCACATAGACTCCCTAAACTGGCAAAAAAAGAGGATCTGGACAAAAAGGAAATCAGAAATAATTTCTCAGATAACAGCAGAGATTGTGCTCATGGTGGAAGACATGATTAATAAATCTAGAGAGGAGCTGAGGAACATGACGGAATCCCAACATCGGAAACAAATGGAATGCATAAAACAGACACAAAGAGATTTCCAGAAGATTAAAAACTCCATTGAAATATTACACAGAAGAATTAGCCAATGTGAGAACAGAATTTCAGATATAGAAGATAAGATTGCAATTAGTGACCAGGAAAAGAAAAATTGCTTCAAAATTGTAAGGGACATGAGAAATCAATCCAGCAGCTGCTAGATGGTGCAAAGAATAACATAAGACTGATTGGAGTCAATGAAGAAACAGGAGAAAGTACAGAGCAAATAACAAAACTATTCACAGAAGTAATGGCAGAAAACTTCCCAACCATGAGAAAAGAACTTGACATACAGATAAGTGAGGCATATAGGACTCCAAATAGCCTTGATCAAAAAAAAAAAAAAATCTACACATAGGCATATAATTGTTAAAAGTACAGAAACCCAACAGAAGAACAAAGTTCAACAAGCAGTTACAGAAAAGAAACAAATCACATACAAAGGAAAGCCCATCAGAATCACAGAAGACTTCTCAATGCAAACCATCAAGGCCAAACGAGCTTCGAGTGACATATTCCAAGCCCTAAAGGAAAACAGCCTCCAACCCAGATTAATGTACCCTGCAAAATGATCTTTCAAAATTGATGGAGAAATAAGGTACTTCCATGACAAAGAGCACCTTAGGAACTTCATGAATACCAAACCAGCACTCCAAAAAATTTTTGACAATATACTAGGAAAAGACAATGAGGATCAAAACCCCAGGAAGCCCATCAAAATGAATCCATTGGGCATGACAAGAAATTAAATGCAAAGGGGGAGAATCCAACAAAAAGAAAAAGTCATGACAATGATAAGTCAATACATATCTGTTATAACCATCAATGTTAATGGTCTCAATTCACCAATCAAAAGAAATAGTCTAGCAGAATGGGTCAAGAAGCAAAATCCAACAACATGCTGCATATAAGAAACACACGTAATTCAAAAAGAAACTCATAGATTGAAAGTTAAAGGGTAGAAAACAATACTCCATGAGACGGGAACCCGAGAAAAAGCAGGAGTAGCTCTCGTCTTGGCAGATCAAGTAGATTTCAAATCAACACTGATTAAGAGAGACAAAGGAGGACACTACATCTTTGTACAGGGAACAATCCAAGAGGAAGATATGACAATCATAAATATCTATGCACCAAACACTACTGTGCCCAACTATATAAAACAAATACTAACAGACATGAAAAGTCATATATGCACTAATAAATACAATAGTAGTGGGGGACCTCAATACCCCACTGTAACAAATAGATAGATCAACTAGACAAAAAATAGGCAACAAAATACTAGAACTCAATCAAACTCTTGAACAAATGAATTTAACAGATGTTTACAGAGTGTTCTACCCCA